AAAATAAAATCTAATTTGCAACCTTAACAAATTTTACTAATTGTCCTAATTCCACTAATAGCAGGAGAAAATTCCCAGGTCACTCATTTTTGGATGGCTTCATCACTTTATTTCCTTTAATCTGGAAAGATTCATTCATTAGTCACTGACTTTTATGACATTGACATTTCAGTGAGGATTAACAGTTATTCTTTATAATGCCCTACAATTTCTATTCATTTATTGTTTTCCTACTACTGGGCCCAGAAATGTGAATTTTTGGCAGAAATACTAATTATTCTATCAGAAAAAACATTGTGCCAACAAATGCTGTAATGTCATCAGTTATGTTTTGATTAAGGCACTATCTACCACATTTCTCAAATGAACAGTTGCTGTTTTCCTTTTTGTTATCATTTAAGCCAATATTTTGAAATTACACAATTATCCCTTACATTTCCAGTAGTTTTAACATTTATTACTTATTCGTACTCGATTCTATTATTTCTATGTTGATGATCAAATTGTGCCTTTTCTGCGTCTTTTGGTTGACATCCTATTTAAGGAAGATCTTTGCCTTCCCACTGTGTATGTATTCATTTATATCAGTATGAATAAATGTATTTTAAAGGATGTTGGCCATACACATATATGTATAGAGAGAGTTAAATTTTGAGTTATATTGAGTTTTACATATATACAGTTAAATTTTGGTAATATTGGGTTAGGAATATAGCTCAGTGGAACAGTATTTGACTAGCATATATGAGGCCCCGTGTTTAATCTCCACACCTCCAGAAAAGAAAATTAGTAATATATATCAAGCATGGGTTTTTCCTTTTTTTCCTCTCATTTTCTTCATTCCCCTCCCTTTCTCTAGCATCATTGGGCATTTATTTGCTTCAAAGAGATGCTTAAAGAACTAGAACAGTGATGGCAAAATTTTCAGAGACGAGTGCCCAAACTTCAATCCCAAACCCACTTATTTTTTACAAAGTGCCAACACTGCAGTTAAAACTGAATACTGGGGCTTTAGTTTAGAAAAAAATAAAAACAACTCAGACATTAACATCTTTTGTCTGAAAAGAAAATCACAAAAACAGAGCTTTTGATGATACAAATAGCTTTTTTTTTTTTTTTTTTTTTTTTTTTTTTTTTTTTTTAGC